GAACGCCCCGAGAGTCTGCTGCCCCACCGCGCGCTTTTATTGGCGCTTGATTGGCTCGTCGGTTTGGCCGGAGTGGAGTGGCAGGCCTGTTGTGTAAGTGGGGCCACGCATTTTTACAGGCGCCGGGCTATCTTTACTGCGCCGGGCGCTTTTTGGTCGCGGGAAAGGGCGGCGTCGCCGTGTCAACGCAGCACGGCAGCGCGGCAGCGATCCGGGATGGACGCCGTAAAGGCTTGACTTGCTGCACTAATGGACTGGGTTTTTTGTGCCGCGATTCGGACTGCTTCTCATATGGTGAGGCCTGAACGGCATGGCGGGGAGCAACGTTTTTATCGTGTTTGCCTGCTGCTGTCAAAGTGTTTGACGCTCCAACTCCCGGGGTCGTTCAAGTCGGCGCGGTCAGCAACGGGCCGTACTGGGCTCGGGCTCGGTTCGTGTTGGGAGGTAGGGCGGAAGGTCCGTATCCTGCCCTTACTGCTCAGCCCGGCACGGTGAAGGACAAGAAGCGACTAGAACTGGTCGGCGTCAGAGGCGCTCGTCTGCTCTGGTGGTTGGGCCCACTCGGCAGCCTACGAAAGAGGCCTTGTTTCGGCGCGGGATTTGAAACTGAGCTCTGGGCGTCCCCAGGGGTGTCACTTCCTCGTTTCCTTTTCTGTCTCGCCTCTCCCCCTGCCAGTCTCCGGTCGATTCCCGGTCGGTTCCCGGTCGGTTCCCGGTCGGTTCCCGGTCGGCTCCCGATGGCGCTCGCGGACCGTTTGACGGAGCGGCTGCTGCTGCTTTCTCATCCACCTGCCGTATATAGCGCGCGTCCCGGGACAAGGGGCATGATCGGAATCTAATGCCGCGCACGCCGTGCCGTGCCGCGCCGTGCCGCGCGTCTTTTGCGGGTCCAATTTTTGGACGGGCTGGGCCCCGCCGTCCCGGGCGGCCGATCCGCGCACTTGGGCGACTTTCACGACGCTGCGCGGTGCTGCGCGCGCCCCGCCCGGTCGCGGCCATTTTAGGCGGGTCGAAAAAGAACGGCCGAATGATTCCGGGGCAGCCTCAGTCGGTGTCGGTGACGAGTTGTTTTTTAATGTGGACAGGAAGCGGCGTGGCGCGCTAGCGGCGGCGGCGTACACGGCGCGGTGCGCGAGGGGCCGGTCGGCCGGTCGACGCCGTGGCCGGCTGGCTGGACGTATGGCAAGATTACGGCTACTTACTGTGAAAGGGGAAGGAAGCCGTGAAGCCCAGCCCAGCCCAGCCGTGTCTGGATCTGGAGGCTGTTGCCGTGCTTCTCTCCGGATGGGCGTGTGCTGCGCGCCGCGCGCCGCCGCCTAGCTTGATTCCCCTGGACTTGACTCCCCGGCCTGGCGAATGTCAGGCTAAATAGTTACGTATCGTGGCGCGTTGCGTCACTCTGCCGTATGGCGGTTTGTGTCTCTCGGTCGTGAAATGCAGCAATCCCTATTGGCAGAGTGACTGGCCGGGCCGCCGCCTCGACCTTGCTCATGACGACGCCGTCCTTCGGTCCTCCGTCTGCCGCTCTGCCGCCGCCGTGCTCGTCGTCGGCGTCCTTCGGGAAGGGCGACCGGGACGCCGACGTGGCGGCCGTCCGTCTAAGTGACGCCGGGCCACGCTCATTGTCATGTGCGTCGCATTGTGTTGACTTTTGAAGGGTTGTTGATGTGGAGGGGGGCGTGGGGGCCGCGGAGGGGGCTCCGGGGGCAGCGGGGCCGCGACGCACGGCACAGTGTGCCTGGAATGCGGTATGACCAGTTCGTGCTTCGGCGGACGGAGTGCGGGCAGGGCAATGCAGGGCATCGCGGGGAACATCGACCCCTTCCCCTCCCCCTCACGAGCCCTGTGCTCGACTCGACGCAGCCCCTCGGTGGGGCCACTAGGTGGGGCCCCGCAAGGGAGCGAGGCATGGGGTGTAAAATCGGTTGGCCCACGACGGCAACGAATGCTGCGCGGCACATCGGGCACATGCCTGGCTTGCACTCACTCGGTGACGCGGTCGTGCGGCCTAGAGTGCACTCACTCGACGTCGGCGAGCTCGGCGAGGATCGCGCTGTGGCGCTATGCGGGGCGGGGCGGGGCGGGGCGAGCGGCTCCACCACAGCTCGCGGTGCCTTGTGCCTCTTGTGCCTTGGCGCTCTGGTCGCGGCGCTCTGGCCGCTCCTCGCGATGTTGCCGGCGGGCTGGCGGCACGCTGCGGCACGCTGCGGCGGCCCCCCTCACCCCCGCGCCGCGCCGTCAAGTCTGGCAACCCCGCCAATCAGCGCCGCGTTGTGGTCGCCGCGCCCCGCCACGCCCCACCACGCCCCACCACGCCGCGGGCCTCCTTGATGCTCCATCGATGGCGCTGGGATTAATGGAGGGATCAGCCCCGGACTAAGACGCGGCTCGTGTGACGTGGTCGTCGAAGGGTTTCCGAACGCGCGTCTCGCTCGGCGCCGTGGTGCAGTACGCAACGCAGACGCAGTACGCTGCCGTGGTGTTGTTGACGCTCGCCGCGGCGTAGCGAGGCGCCACGCCCTGCGGACCAATGAGCCGTGGCCGCCGTGGTGTGGTGACTTCGTATCGCAGTCCCGGGTTCAAGTACCGCGGCCTGCCAGGCTGCTTAAATTTGTATCCAGTGTTAACCTTTGTTTGCGTCGAGTACCCGCCCCGCTCCACCCCGCCTCTTGGCGAAGTTCCCCGCTAGCAATTAGGCAGCACTGTTCCACTGCGGCCCCGTCTGGCCGCGACTGCCGCGACCCCGGCGGCGCGGACTTGGTCGTTGTGCTTTCGCGGCCGGGCGGGTGGGCACGACGCCGAGCTTCGGGCGGGTGGGCACGACGCCGAGCTTCGGGCGGTGACACGGCCGCCGCGCCGCCTCGCCCGCCACGCCGAATGGCCGAATTGACGTGTCGTCACCGCGGCTGCGATGTGGCCGCCCCGGCCGGCCGATCGCGCTATGCCATTCGCCTTGCCGTTCTAAAAGTGGCCCTTACGCGACTGCCTCTCCGGCGTGCCAAAGCTGCCCAAGCCTGCCCAAGCCTGCCCAAGCCCGGCCGCATCCCTCGGTTCTATTTCGGACGCCCTCCCTGACGGCGTTGACAAGAGATTCCCTTTTCCTGTCGTGGGGGGAGGGTTTCGAAACGGATCGTTTGGCCGGGCGTGTACGACGCGGCCGCCGCGCCCCGGGCCTTAGCCGCCGCTGCACGGCCGGGGCGGCCGCGGCCAAGATCAGGGTGAACGCGGCGACCACTGACCCTCTGACAGCGCGAGGCGCGCGGCGTGCGGCTGCCAAGCGGTGTGTCCATCCAGCATCACGACGACGCACTGCGCCAAGTGCCGCGCTCTGCGCGTGCGTGCGGTGCGGCACTCTTAATTGGTTCGGCACTTGTGTACAATTGGTGATTATTTGGGTAATTGCGTCGTCGTGTCTCGACGTGTTCCGACGCGGCGCCCGATCCGCGGCCCGCCGGCACCCTGTGCCCTGCTCTGCGGTACTAGGATGAGTTTGAAACATTTGACGGCCCAGCGCGCGGAGACGGAGACGGCGGCACACTTGTCGTCATGTCGCTTGGCAGCCTGGCCGTCGTCGCCCCGGATATTCCACAAATACGCGTCGCCGCCATCCATCATGCGAGTGCAGCGGCGTCTGCAGGTGCAGGGCGTGCAGGGCGTGCAGGGCGCTTCCGGACGCGATTCGGGTCGTTGGCGACGGCCCCCGCCTCGCCGCGCCGCGGCCCGGTTAGACCCGATCGAGTCTCGCATGCAGGACCCCGCGCCGCGCCCCGCGCACTGGCAAGCTTGTCATCGCGGTCCTTTGAGTCGGGGGCGCGCTGGCGGCGCCGTGGCCGCGGGAGCGACGCGACGCGAACGATGTGGCCATGCAACAGTGTTGCACCGATGAATGGGTCCGATGTTAACTCTGGGCTCGAGTTGACAAGGTGTAACCGGGGCCTGCACTACTACATGTGGCTCGCCAGCCGCCTCAGGCCCCTTGGTTTTAATTTCGCACGTGGCTGCGGTTGCCAAACAGCCCCACCCCTTTCCCTTCCCCCGGCGAGCCGCACCGCGGCGCCATGCCAAAACAACCCAACTATTCGCGTATTCCTGAAAGTGCATGTCCTACGTCCTATTGTGCAGGCCGGGCTGGGATGGCGCAGAGGTGGGGCGGGGCCGGGCGGGGCGGGGCCGATTGTACGGCGTTCCACACCGCGACGCACAAAGCCTTTCCGCCGCCCGCCTGGATGTCCTGCGGGGGAAAGGGAGAGGGAGGGGGCACCCGGAGGCTGTGCCGCCGTCGCGACGCCGCGCCGCCTTGTTGTATGCTGATCGGGCCGTGGCGCGGCGCGGCGCGCTCTGCTCATCTGCATGGCGGCGAAGTGCGCCTCGAGCCTGCGCCTGCCCGGCACTGTCTGCCGGCCGGCCGGCCGTCTGCCGCCGCGGTGACGTCGCCGGCGAGCCCCTCCCTCGCGTGCCCAGCTGATTGAGGGAGTCCTCCTGATAAGTGGGGCTCCCCCCTCCCCCTCCTCTCCCCCATCCTGCCATTGATACGGCGTGGCACGCGCCAGCCGTGACGCGGTGCTGGCGGTGGCGGTGCTGGTGGCGGTGCTGCCGGCATGGGGGTCCCGCTGCGCCCGCCCGCGCTCGCCCGGATCGCCGCCGCTGGGGGTCAGTGAAAGATTTCGGGGCCCGCGTCGCCGAGACATGCCGAGACTGTATGGCGTCTAGTCCGGTGAGGGTGAGGGACGTCTGGGTGGAAGGCTACCTGTTGCGGGGCCCTCCCCCACCAGCCCCGCCAGCCCCGCCAGCCTGCCCTCGCTTACCTGGGGCGGCACGCGCCGTCCGTATTGTGCGGGCCACGCGCCCCGCGCCGCGCGTCCGGCAGTGTCGCGGGCCCTTTCGTGCCCATTGTGGAGGGCCACTTGGCTCCCATTGAACGCGGACACGCGCACGCACACACACTTCCTCATCCGCACCCACACCACTAACTTATGTGTTTTTGTTCTCGTCTGTTTCAGAAATCGCCAGGGTTCGGGCAAATTTATTCCAAATAAACGGAATGAAGAAGGAGCCGCTAGTTTTGCCAGAAGCACAGGGCCCGCCCACAACACTCACAGAAAAAGTCTACGTTCCTGTAAAAGACCACCCAGATGTGAGTATGCCGTGCTGCTTGTCGCCTTCTTGAGGGCTGGCGTCGTCAGACTGGCGGGAGGCGGCCAAAACTCAAGACGCGTTTTGAGCTCCCGAGTCGCGAAATGAGAGGCAAACTGAACGTGTGACCCCACCAATGGATGCCTCCTTCAAAGAGCAATCCAGTGGTGGTGTCACACGTTCCGTTTGCGTCTCATTTAATAGACACTCTGGAGCTCAAAACGCGTCTGGAGTTTTGGCCACCTCCACCGCCTTCTGGCCCACTGTGTGGCGGCGCGCTTTAAACTGGTGACTGGGCCGAAGTCGGCCGAAGCCGGGGACGCTGTGGCCGAATTCGGGAAATGATGGTCGGACCTTGACGGCGGCAACGCGGCAACCGGATGGCGTCGTCTGCCGGCGCCTCGCCGCGCCACGCCTTGCGCTCCACGCTTGGCGGACCGCGGTCCCTGCCCGCCTTGCGCTTGCGCCGCCTGCGCGCCTCGCCTCGAGGCCGAGTGGGCCGCCACTCATTTCGCGCGGCCGGGGACCATTGGGCCAGTCATAGTGAGCCCGAGCCAGCCGGGCAGGCAGTCAGTCAGTGAGTCGGGCAATGGCGCCACCCCCGCTGAAATGCGTCGACCTTGTGCTCGGAGCGGACGGCGCGTAAACAAACCGAGCGCCATTTCGTCTTTGGAGAGGGGTATGTCATGTCCGGCCGAGTCTCTGTTCGCCATGCCGTACTCTTGGACGCGGCTCGGACGGCCTCCAAGTCGCTCAAACGTCACAGGTTTTCGATATCGGAGGGTACACCCCGGCGTACTCGGCGGCGGCGGCCAGGCCGGGCGTGGGCGTGGTGGGCGGTGCCTTGGCACTGTGGGTGGAGAGGGCCGCGTCTATTTTTGAGGTGCGGGAGGATGTAGCAGCAGGGCAGCAGACGTGCCGCGGGGAGATTATACAGCTTCTGCCTTCTGCCCCGGCCGCCTGTTCGGCCCGATTAGAGTTCTCGGGGCGAGGAGGCCCGGCCGGCCCGGCCGCCTCGAATTTGGATCGCGACACCGGCGCTCGCGGCGAGGAGGTTGCATCCCGGCGAAGGCCCGCGGCCGCGGGGACAACTGTGTGGCAAGGGAATGGAGGTGTTGGGCCCCACCACGCCCCGCCCCGCCACGCCACGCCACCCCGAGGGTCGCTACTTCCTCCCGCCCCCCGCGCCGCTTCCGCTGGGGAGGCATGCAACTCCCTGCCTCCTCCTCCTCCCCCTCCCCACCCCGGCGCTGCGCCGCTGCCGCGGGCTCTGGCTGCTGGCGCCCGTCGGGAAAGCATCAGGGGAGTCGCGTCTCCGTTATTGAGCCCCCTGCCTGTGTTTTTCTTCCCCCTGGCGTTTTAATGAGTGCGAGGAAGGCCCGCCCGTCGCCCCGCCCGTCGCCCCGCCCGTCGCCCCAGCTTCTCGGGTCCCCCACCCCCGTGCCTCCACGTGACAAAATCGGGGAAAAGACATGACGTTGTTGTGCACGTATGGCCGACTTTTTAAATAGACCGTCGTGCGCAGCTGCAGACATGCTGCAGGCGGCATGTGGCGTCGCCGCCGCGTCGCCTCCGCTCCGGGGAGGCCGTCGGAGGGGCCGGTGTACTCGGTTGCGAACAACAGGGCTAAGTCGCATCAAATTGAGGCCTCGGGTGAGACGCCAGTTGCGGTGACATGGTGAAAAAGAGGACTTAGTGTAGGCGCGGACTTGACCGGGCTCCACGTCGCCGTGAGCTTCGGCCTGGCCGTCGACTAGTACCTAAGGCGTGTGCGCACGAGGGCCAGCTCCATGTTTGCCACTCAGTCTCCGCGCGCGCTCTCCACTTGGACTATTTTGGTCCGGTCCAAAATAACCCCTTGCCGTGTTGCCGCGTGTCACCGCCACTGCGCCGAGATGAACGTGCGGCGCGGCCGCGAGGGTCATGACGGCGAGGAGGATGATGACGTTGTTGACGAGGCCCGCGGTGATTGATTTGACGACAGGGCATTGTGACGTGTCGCGAGTCGCGGCGTGCGTGGCGCGTGGCGTGCGGCGCGTTGATTCCAGCCGCGGCGTGGATGCGCGTGGCGGAGGGGAGGGGGCGGCCAGGACGCCGCAGGAAGCGGGCGGCTCGACGCGGACACCGAACTGCACCCGAAATAGCGAGTGCGCCGCCGCCGGTGCGCCGCCAACGTCGCAGGGGGCGCGCGCGATACGCCCATTGAGTGCTTGCCTGTGCGTGCGTGCGTGCGTGGGCGGAGACCTCGCCCCGCCGCAGAGCCCTGGCCGCCCTGGCCGCCCTGGCCGCCCTGGCGCACGTGGTGTCCGCGGCGAATGTCGTCGCTGAGCGTCCTCTGGCAGTGCACCATCCCCGTCGATGGCCGCGCCGGGGACTGTGATTGGATTCCGTGCGGCCTCGTCGCAGAAGGACGACGGGGTGCGGCGCGGCCTCGAGCCTGACGAGCTGGGCGATGAGCGGAGTTGCTGCCGTGCCGTCCGGGCGACGCCCACGTAGTGCCTGGGGCGGCGTCGTCGCTGCCACCTCGGCGACGCGGCGCGACGCCTTCAGCTGCCCGAGGATCGCGGTGGGGTGCACAGCCGCACCTGGGGTGTGCACGTGCAGGGACTGCCGCTGCGGCGCGTGCAGTCGGGTCAACTGCAGCGCGCGCCGGGCGGAGGGCCTGGATCTGGGCCCGGATCTGGACCTGGACGCCGCCGTCCGCGGACTCCGCGAGGGCGTTCCGTTCTCGCAGTAAACGGCGCCGCTCGGCTTGCGCCCAGGGCGCGGAACGGGCGAAACGGCCGATTAGAATCTTGTTGAGGAAGCTGAAGGAACTGAAAGTGGAGTTGGGAGTGGGGACCTGGCGGAGCGAAGGTCACTTGCGCAGATGCCACGTCCCTCCCTCCCCCGAGATGCTGTGCCGCCCCGTGCCGCTCGCGTGCACACTGGGCAGCCGTCCGTGCAGAGGCACTCGATGTGGGTCATAGGCGGCTGGCCCTCTGGGTCCCCTCCCCGGGTCCGGGGTGGGCGCGGGGCCGCACCGCGTTGGGCCGCCCGTCGGTCGATTTGAAGGGGCGCGGCCAAGGATGGCCCCGACCAGGCCCGACCCGTCCCGACCCGTCACGCGCGGCTGCCCCTTATAACTTGGCACCTTGTCGCGGCGAGAATTGCGTGTCCGTGACAAGTGCCCGGGGTGGGGCGGGGCCTGGCTGGTCTTTACGACTTGCAGCGCCTCCCGAGGCATTGTTTGGGACGAAGCGAGGCTCTCGGGTTCGGAGACTGACTTGAGACTTTGCTCGTATCATCGAGGAGGCCAACTAGTGGACCCGCGTCTTAGCCTCCGCGCGTTGAGGTCTCCCCGCGCCGTGTGCCGTGCGGTGCACGGAGTGGGGTGAGTGGGGTCTCTGACCGCGCCTGCCTGCCTGCCTTCCGCCCCCGTCGCGCAGCCGAGTGAGGCGGGGCGCGGGGCGGCGGTGGAAACGTTCCAACCCGTCAAAATTAAGCTCGCCCCGCCGGGCCCGCCCCGTCTGCGGAAGTGGACGAACCGACGCGACGCAAATGTTCCGTTGCGGAGCGCAGCGCGCTCTGCGGCGGTGACAGGTGAGGGGCTCGCGCTGTCCAGTCCCTCGACGCCGTCGTGCTACTTGGCCTCGGGGCGCACGATGACGATGACTGCCCGGCGCGCTGGGTGGCGCCCCGACTGCTGCCCGGCCCTCGGACGCTGCAATACGAGACCGTGTTCCGCTCCGTGATTCGTGTCAAGACCTTTGGCCGGTCCTGGACCGAGTCCTGGATGCTGCCCGGTGCCCGGGTGGCGCTGCAGCGGGACTAGACAAGACAGATGCACGTCGTCGTTGCCACCATCTATTTTGCCGTTTCTTCTTTATAATTTTGGCGAAGCGCGTCTTTTTGTGTGCGTTATTGCGACATTGTTTTCTGCGCGAAACACTTGACGGACTCTCCCAGGCTGGCAGGCTGCCTGCCAGCTCCGTCCGGGCCGTGGCCGCCGCGGCCGCCGAGCGCTGTGGCTGTGAATCATCGCGTTCCGGTATTGCCCGCGCAGCACCGACCGACCCAACCGCCGACCCGCCGACCAGCTGGCGGACTTGTTGATGTAGTTGTTGCGTTTATAGATGTTGTTGCTGGGAGTCTGGCGTTGCGCGACAATGGTCTCTTTGTCGGAGTCTGGGGCAGACCATGGTCAGGCCTCCGCCGGGGGCTCGGCCCTCGGCCCCACAGCCAGAGCAGAGCCAGCCCGGCGAAGGCTGTGGCCGCTTTTGGCTGTGTAGCGGAGTCGTCCGGGCACAGCCTGGGCAAGCCTGGGCAAGCCTGGGCACAGGATGCACGTGGGCGTCGTCCCTGAGTCCCCGCGTCCCTGGCCGGGCCGGGCCGGCCCTGCCGGGCGTCGCTAGGGCGTCGCTAGGGCGTCGCGGCCCCGCTGCCGCTGCTCCACCCAGGGCGTCGCCAGGGCGTCGCCGCCACGCCCGATGTTATGCCAGGACGTCTCGCGTTGCTCGTCGCCGCGTTGCGTCTCGGCCGGCTACTCGTCTCACTCCCTTTCCGGGGCGGGGCGGCGGGGCCAAGTGTGTTTGGACGGATAGGGCTGCGCCGTCGTCCTTTTCTTGCAGAAGAGACCGGTAGCGGACTCTTCACGTCCTCCCACTCCGATTCATTAACCAATTAATCGGATCACTCTTAATCTCATCCTTATTGGGACAAATGGGACCCTTACCGCTGCGACTCTTTCTTTTCCTTCTCCCTCCCTCTCCGCCGCGCGGTGGAATGTTTTGTCAGGCCGCAGTGCGCGCCATGGCATGGCGGGCTCGGCGACGTGGCCCGTCGCGCGGCGTTTGAGTCAAGTGCCTGCCTGGGGGGTCCGCCGTCGCCGTCCGCCCGGTCCGCCGGCAGTGGTCAGTGGGCGGGGTGCGCACCGCGCGGTGGTCGAAGTGGCCGAAGCGGCCGAAGTGGGCTGTTAAGCGCCATTTGGCGCCGCTGGTCGGTGGTCGTTGGCGCTTCCCCGGCGTGGCGGCGTGGCGCTACTGGGCCTGGCTCGCCTGGCTCGGCCGCTGGGAGAGCTCTTTTATGCGCTTCGAACGACGGCGGTCCGGTCGCACTCCGGGCGACTTTGCTGCCGCCCGCTGGAGGGGCCCCGCCGGCCCCGCTCACTCTATGGGTCCCTGGGCCCGGGCCCGGGCCTGGGCCTCAGCCCGCGCCTCAGCCCCTCCAGCCGGCGGCGGCGCGGCGTGCGTGCAACGGAGGCGAGGCCCGGCAAGCCCGACGCCGGACCCCGGCTGGGGCAGTTCGAATTGGGACGGGCATCGGGGCATCCGGCAAACGACCCCAATGCGAAGGCGGCGGCCTTGACCGCCCCAAGGCCGTGCTCGTCCTCAACGCCACGCTGCGTGGCGGTGCGTGGCGGTGCGTGCGCGGCAGCGCCAGGCAGGCAGCCACGGCCCGTTGGCGTTGGTGTATCTCCCTCTTTGTAACGCCCTCACTCTCTTCGCGCTGGTATATTGCGACTGCCCTGGAAGCGCGCAACGCGAGCGTGACGGCGAGCGTGACCACGCGTGTGCGTGTGACGGGCGTGACGGGGCGTTACGTAACGTAACGTGGCGTGTCGGCGTGCATCCCACGCGCCGCCGAGCGTGACACGCTCGGGCGTGACAGCGTCAACAGGCGTTAGCGGTGCGGCGCCGGAGCGCCATGTCGACGCGTTGCTGCGGCTCGCTCGTGTGTGGTCGCGAACACGAGGAACCTTGTCTCCGGTGTCCAAGCCAAGCCAGGGGAAGCGCCTGTGAATCCGGGGATAGGCAACCACGCGGCACAGGCCTGCGCGACGGGCGGGCATCCCAGCGCCTGGCTAGGCTGGCCAGACGTGCAGCCGGCCTTTCTCGCTCGCCATCGCCTGCCCTGACTAACTGTTTCTCCTCTCTGTGTTGCAGTTCAACTTCGTCGGAAGGATTCTGGGCCCGCGCGGCATGACCGCAAAGCAGTTAGAGCAAGAGACTGGGTGCAAAATCATGGTGCGCGGCAAGGGCTCCATGAGAGATAAGAAAAAGGTTTGTGTTCCGCCGGGTGCTCTTTTCGCTCCGTCCCGTCCGAGCCCTTCTGGCTGGGGTGGGGCATTCATTTACGTCTGATTGCACTTGCTGTGGTTGTGTCTGACGTTTCTTTGCCTTGTCCTGCTACTTTTTGTGGATTTGCAGCTGGATTGCTTCTCGTGAGTATGCACCGTACACCGTACCCGAGACGCGCAACGCGCGGACATGTCCCCGTGCCGAGCAGGGTGGCTGCGACCAGGTCGCGAGTTCTGATGCACTCTGTTGTTTTGCAGGAAGAACAAAATCGGGGCAAACCAAACTGGGAACACCTGAACGACGAGCTCCACGTACTACTCACAGTTGAAGACACGGAAAATCGGGCTCGAGTCAAAATGGACAGAGCCGTCGAGGAGGTTAAAAAGCTGCTCATACCGGTGAGTGTGTTGCGACTTGCCAACTTGTCGTTGCCGTGTGTGGACGTGGACAGACGGGCTGACGCTCTCCTTGTTGTGCAGGCCGATGGCGAGGATGAGCTGAAAAAGCGGCAGCTCATGGAGCTGGCCATTATCAACGGGACGTACCGTGACTCGAGCGCCAAGGCGGCGGTGCAAGCAGGTGAGGCCGCGCATGTGGCAAGTATGTATGAAAAGCCTTTCTTTTGTCTTTTGTAACCGCCAACGGAGTGAATGGGGTGGAGGAGTCGTGAGTGAGTGAGCAATGCCGCTAATGTTTTGCCGTCAATAAGTTCCTGTCTGATGTTTTGAAGCGCAAAGTGAGCCAGGAGACCAATGCACAGGCGGACGGAACTATGGCAAATTTCTGAGATGTGCAGTCCTCAAACAGAACTCTAATCCAAGACCGGATGGCACCGTCCGGTTGCTTCTCGATCGAAGTTTTAGTCCCGTTTAAGGACTGCAAAGCTCAAAACGTGTCCAGAGTGTTGTCTGAACCTACACCGGTCTCCTGTCGACAATAAAACGCTGATCTAGTTTGTATCGTGCCTGCTAATAAGACTAACGTTGGCGTTGCCGTGGCGAGTTTGGCCACGTTTTCCACGTAGTGCGCCTGCTTAACGCTCCCCCTCCTCGCCTCCCTGGCGTCGTGGCCGGCCGTGGCCGTTTGGACGTACGAGCCGCGGTGGGTGCAGGTGACTGACGGCGTGCTGCACCTTGTGCTTGCAGCGGTGTGCGACGAGGAGTGGCGGCGGGTGGCGCTTGCGGCGTCCGAGACGCAGCGGATGCTGTCCCCCGGCATGCAGACGCTCACGGGGCCGATGAGGAACCACGCGGCGCCGCTGGGCGCGCCCCTCATCCTCTCGCCGCGCATGCAGGTGCCCACGTCGGCGGCCTCCCTGCTCAACGGCTCGGCCCAGGCCCAGGGCCTGATCCCCGGCCACGAGCACCACGGCCTCATCTACGCGTCGCCGTACGACTTCAGCAACTACCTGGCGGCCGCCGCCTCCGCCTCGCCCCTCATGACGGACTACAGCGAACACACGGGTGCGTTATTTGCATTTTGACCTAAGGCCCTGCTTGGCTAACCCCACCTTGATTCACACCTTTCAGCAGCCGCCCAGGCGTATGTTAAGTGATTGTCAAGGACCTCTTATTATTGGTGGCGTGCTCCATGTCGCTTAAACAAGGAGGGGAGGGTTCTGTTGTATGTTTTTTTTTTTACATATTTTTTTCTTACTAATGAGGACAGCTGGGTAAACTTGTTGCATTTAAACTTTTTCGTGAAGAAATCTTGAGACATGGCAGTCACCTGGCTCTTTACAGAAGTAATGTGCATTTGAATTCCTTGATATTCACTCTGTGCTCATGTGTAAATTGCGATTTTTACATATTTATGTTCGTAATTCAATCTTCCTTTATCATCAGAACTTATAATTATCCTGCAAGTAATACTCAGATGCTGTTGAGTGAATTTGGTGTATTCAGATTGACTTTGCATTTCCTGTTGAGTGATTTTTAGAGACAAGGAAGTATTTTCTTCTTGATTGCTAATGGAGCAAATGTCAAAGTCCTCATCATAGCTATTTTCTCACACAAAAGAAAATTCAAGTACTGGTAATCTTTTCTTGTCAACAAATACAATATAATGTATTGATAGAAAAATGGTATTGTAATGAAACTATAGGTATCTTTTTACCTAACAGATGTATGTACAGTTAAGCGTAAAATGGCTGTATTGTTATGGAATACTTATATAAATTTCAATATTTATCGTAAATCATCGATGGCAGACGCGGCAAGCGGTGATTGAAAGGTGTGACAATGACATCAAATAACCATTAACTGAAGACCATCCTTGGTTGAGAAATTTATATGTCGGTGGTAAAGGTTATTCAGAGTTAGTGAGTTTCGAATTCATTGGGTACATCTTGTTTGATTTTTGTTTAGTAATGAAACAAAATGCATTTCTTATATCTTTAAATTACTTTCAGAAGAAAAAAAAAAACACTGAGAGCAAAGGTATTAGGACTATTTCAAAAGTGCATACACTATAAATCCTCTCCTTCCCTCTTCATGCTTTATTTCTTAACTCGTGTTTCTTCCCATGAGCTTGGGTCTTGAGATGGTCGGAGATGGTTCCGCATTATCTTCATAATATAAATGTATAACTTTTCAATATGGTTAGTTGATAGAATTGGCCTCCACCCAATTATTCCTCTTGCACTTGTTCGCGCTCATCCACTCACCAAACTAACGAAACTAAAATTGTGTTACTTTCTGAATTTGTTGTTGCTGTATTATGTTATATCAGAGCTCAGCAGGTTTCTTTGTCTCTTAAATATTCATTGCAAAGAATTTTTTTTTCGGTCAAGCAGATTTGAGCTATTTCTTGCGAAATGTGTGAGGCTTTGTGTCTAGTTTTTCCCTTAAATCTTATCTAAAATTTTAAAAACTTAAAATTTTTAGTAAGTTTGATTATTGAATCAGTTAAGCAAACACTCTGCTGAGCTCTTTGTGAGTTGATGTTCGAACAAGTGTCAAGATAACCGTTGGTCATTCCAGAGCAGCGGTGGGTCACGGTTGGGGTGTGAACCATTGGTTGCACGCACGAGGCTGGCCTGACCAGCGATAATCCAAGGCAGACTCCTGGCGCAGTTCCACCAGAGCAGCTCATGAGCACAGGACTCCTCCTACTGTTCATGTCCTGTGCTCACATCCTTCTGTTGGTGAACTTCTTGCTGTTTTCAATGGCACTTTTTCATCCATGGGATATTCCAGTGACGACCACCACTATGATTTCACATCGACTTTCTTTCTTACTTCATTACCAGTGAAAGGTATGATGTATAATGTGAAGTGTGCAATGCTGCCAGTTTTACCAGAAGACAAAGCCAGCTTTTTTATAAACTGTAGTGACCTATGAAATTTGTTTTAAATGTAGTTTTCTATAGATAGCACTTTCCTTATTCCAGTGCACGAATCTTCCTTCTAGATTTTTTAAATAAAGTAGTTAATGAGTATGTTAAAGAATTTTCTGTAAGTAAATTTGTAAATATTATTATCTATGTAGATTTGCCAAGTTGAACTGGGTCTATTTTAAAAATTAGATTATTGTTCTTTTCATTTATGAATTGTGTGTGCCGTTCTTTGATGTGTACATTCTGATGTATACTCACGTGTATAGAGTTTGTATTATATTTTCTATATAAGTTGAATTATTGTGATTGTTATTTATTTGATTAGTGCTATTGCAATAGTGCCTTTTACCAATCCCTTTACAGAAGAAATTTGTCCACTTCTGATTCTGTTTCTGCTTAAATATGGTCACTGCATTGAGGTGGAGATGGTTTATAGTTTCTTTATGCACCTGTAAAAATTCTCCTTTTATCAAAGAATTTCATGTGATCTTCCTCTGATACTTTTAGAAAGGATCAATTTTCTGAAAAAAAAAGAAAAAAAAAGGACAAAATACGAATCCTCGCTTCTTTGTGGATACTTATCCGAGGGACTGAAATGCACATCTAAGTGCTCGGATAAAGGTATTATTTTAGCAGATCAAAATTCAGGAAATCGAATCAAAGTTTCTTATGTATTTCCTAGAAATATAGACTGTAGGAGTAGGGAGAAGAATAAGACAGACAATGTGGAGAAATTTACATTGTTTCTGTAATGCAGCGATCCGAGCTTTCAAAGACTTATATATTGTTACAATTGCAAAATTTTTCTATGGTTGTTTGTTTCATAGTTTTATTCAGTTGACAAGAATTGATTATCTATTTCCACTTTTCATGTAAATTATGTGCTGTACCCAGTACAGCTATTAACTGACTGGCAGTTTGGATAGACATGCATTGATTTGCTCTATAGTTTACTCTTCCCAGTGCCATACTGCTTTCTGTTTCAACTTCTGCATGAAATTTTTACTGCAGCTATTATGAAGGCTTTGAAAACATTTTTCTCTCTTTTTTTATTTTTTATTAGTGAAGCTAGAACAAAGTATTTGAATACGAGAGAAGACATTATGTCACCTGTTACCAGTGTTATTTATATGTAGTTTTGTTGTGTGTTTGTGTATGTGTGTGTGCCTTTTTTCCAGTGATCAATTATGTTTTTTTTGTTGATGTTTTGTATTTGTGTAGAATGGAGCATGAATTTTGCATTTGCCAGAAAGCAGCTCTTGTGATGTCATTATCAAATGCTGCATAGCCATAGATGTGCCTGAAGCAGAAATACTGCCTTTTTTGCCATGGGATTCTTATTTCTTTTCTTTTTAAATGTTCCATTTTACATAAACGTGATTGAAAACGTCCCAACATGGTCAACTTTTACTTAAATCTGTTCCTCTTCAGAAATTTTTTTAAAACCCTCCTTTGAGTTAACGGAAATCTAATACGCAAGTTTATGAAATTTTTGAAATGCCAGTTGGGACGTTGCAAACTTTCTGTGTGTCTGCGATGTATGCTTTAAATATGAGTTTTGTGCCTGCAAAACAGGAGCACTAGCGGGCGTTAAGCAGCGCAGACACTTGGGACAGATGAGAGAACATCCCTACCAAAGGGCGGGGCCTCCTCTTGTGAATTAGACCCAAGTGTGCCAAGGTTAGTCTCTGTTACGTTATCTCTCTAAAGTACCTCTTGTTGTGGAGCCTCCTTTTTATATGGCTTTTCTTACTATCGTAGTCAGAATTCAATCTGGAAATTTCACCATGAAATTTCCACAGAGTGCGACCCAGTCCTGGCCTTGTCATTTACAAATACTAACCAGTGGTTTAGTATTCCCCTACATAATCTAAAATTTTAAAGCCACTTGAGCTGATGTGGGCTAGTGTAAATGGAAGGCCAGGCCTGTTTCGGCTGAGCGTGCTTGATTCAAGTTTAAGTTGTTGAATGAGTCGGGCTTTATTCCTTATGATTACGTTTCACTTTAATCAAAAACCTGTTCAGGGTGTTTAACAATTGACAGATAAACCCCTTTGTGGGAAGTGATCACCCTAAGCCTGGTGGTGACAAATTAGTCAACATATTTATTTTCAAAGACTTCGAATCAAATATGCATTCTTTAAAACTGCTCGCAAAAGTTAATGTTACCAGACCTAACGTAATCTATACATGATTAATGCCCGCCTCAGTGTTATAGTTTGTCTTGATATTATTATTTTGGGTTTTTTTTCTTTCTTTGAGGAAAGAAGGACTGTATGAAATTGGAGTTTTTCTCAGTCGGTACAGTAGTCATCACTTTTTAACATAAATGTAGATGAGGTCACATGAGAAATGTGATTTTCCCTTAAGCTAGTCTATATTATTATTTTCCTTTTTTCACAGATTTTTATAGATATTTATGTATACATATTTATACGAGAATGTTAAGTTTTTATCAGTTACTTCTTGGTAATAAGATTTTATAATCCCTTCATTAAGTCAACTTTTCAATTTTGACCAGTATTTCTCATGAAAGAAGATTTTTTCTGCTATATGCCGTGCAAAATGGCATGTGGCCTTTGGTTGTTTCTGTTTCCCCCTCTCCCTTAATTGTGTTCTACTCGGACACATTTTTCTGAAGGGACAGTAAGATGAAGGACCCAGGTGATGTCTCTCTGGTTTATTCTTTCTCATTTACTTAATTTTTCATTGTAATGGTTGTGATAATTTTGCCAAGACCTAAAGAGGCCAAAAGCAAACGAAACTGTCCTTCTTTCCTCTGATTGTATCTTCGTATTTGTGAGAAGGTCACAAAAAGATTTCATTTCAAAGGGGCAGTAGATGTGGAGCGAATTAAAATGTATATGTACATTGTTAGTTTCCTCATTTGGGGAATTTGAGATATTTATATAAAATATATTGGTAAAAACTAAATATATATATATATATAAAGACATATATATATATTATGTATTATCATTTCCAGTATGAAAATACTATTTTGTATTTTTTTGTTGTTGTTGTTTTATGGCAACTTGAGCCTGTGGAGTGCTAGTAAGACTTTTCCATTGGTTTGTACATATTAGGTGCAAAATCAAACATGCAAAAATAAATGAAGTGTAAGTTGATAGTAGAAACTCATTCATTTCTTTTCCCCATATTTTCATTTTGTATCCTTTTAGCCTTTATTTTGCCAGACCCAAAATGGATCTGTTCAGACACCAAAATAGCTACACTACCTTAATCCTTCCTTCTTTGGGTCTCTACTAACTTACGTTGATACAATCCTTCTCTCCCTTTCTTGCTAACGAACGTCCACATGGCCAAGTTGATCTTACTAACTTTATGGATATTTAATCATTGCTTCATATTAAATGCTTAAGTAAATTTGGAGGAGGAGTCACCAAGCTATGCTCCACATAAGTGATGCTAGACTGCGCTCTGCCTACTGTTCTCTTGCACCTTGGGGAATGCTTCTGGTAGTTTTGGGTTTTAAAACAAGATGTAGTTCCACTTATTATTGTTTTACTGAATCATTTAAGCACACTCTTATGAACATTTTCTTTCTTGTATGTTTTTTGGAAAGGTTGAGGTATAACAATTCTTAAGTTTGCAGCAAGGAATTTCCGTTATTTTTTTTTCTGTCACCCACTTGCTTTTGTTTTTTTGGAACCCTATTGGGCTACAAGTGAAATTCTTATTATTTTACGGATGAATATTAGCACCAGCTTCTTCAGAATCATCTGCTCTTCTATCTTTTGTTGTTGCTCAGTATCTGTTGAATGTTACACATTGGCGAGAGTAAAGAAAATCTGATACGGAGATTTTATCCTATCAGTTTGCAATCAAATTCCTTCTTAATGGAAAGTCCTTCATTGTTTCTTGTGGCAAAATCCTTTATCAAATATTTTTGCAGATGATGCTGATGTTTCTGTGTTACATTTCACTATACAGGGGGCTCGTTACTAACAAACCCCCACTAATTTTATTTTATCTTTGTTTTGTTCATTGCTATTTGAACCAATGTGCAAGCTTTAATAGTTCATGTGTTCATAATGAAAAAGACTTTAATTCATTTTACTAAACCTTCAATGTTGGCTTGGTCTGTCAACATGGTTTGGGCTTCATGTCAAATTTTCCCTGGGATTGATGTTTGTAGTGGTGTAAATACCTCTCAGCTTTGAGACAAGATGTTCATATATTAAGTGTCAGAAACTGGCATAAATATTGTCTCTCAGCAAGTCAGCTACAGTTACTAATGTTAAAATAATATGATAATATGGTTTAGTGGCTGCCTGATGACAAAAGTTTGCTTCAAACATTTTGGCTCGTTTTTAAAAGTTTTATTTTTTCTCATTCTTTTACTTTAACTCTTGAAATCTTTATCATGTGCAAGCTTTTGTCTGTAGTTAGTTATTTGTATTTTTTTTTATATAATATCTATAAAAAAAAAAATACTCGGGCTCATATGTCTGTAATGCCTTGTGTGGAAGACAAATTTCCGATTTTTTTTCTGAACCAAATTAATACATGCTGGCATTACATACATGAACCCAGCTCCTTTGATAATCTTTGGACAAAATCAAATACTAACATTCTGTTTTCTTTTTTCTTTTCCCTTTTTAACTCCCCCGGTTGGCAACCTAGAACAAAACCTGGCCTGTAGGCTTCGAGTGCTAACACAGGAATGGTGTCGAGCGATCACAAGCAACCGTCCATCCAAACATCCTCCCAGTGTAAAGTAACAAGCAACTGCACGCATCAAGATGGTTGGTTGGTCCACACTTTATACTAACCAGCGTCACTTGTTGGGGACAGCACTACCTGCATGGGTAGGTGTCTTGTGTTCTCTGCTACCTTTAACATCACTTCTACTAAAAAGGAATAAGTGGCACCATAATTTGAGTGAATGTGTGAATTTAGTGATGAGCATCAGAAGCAACTCAAGCCAAGCATAACAATGTGCCAATGATATATGCTTAATTAAGTACAAAAGTCTTAACGAAAATTAATTTATTAGTATGATGGAAGACAGGTGTGGACTCACCTACAAGCAACAGTATTGTAGTGTCTCATGTCCTTACTAGTCTTCAAAAGCAATATTTAAGTTTTAAGATGAAAAGATGTTGACAGTTATGAGACACATTTACATTGAAATATCAGTAGGTGTGTGTCCGACTCATACTTACTTCGACAATTCTCATTTTATCTTTGAATATGAAGACTCAGGAAAATAGATTCCACAGCCATACCAAAGCACATTTTTCGTTTTTGTAATGTGCAACTTGACTCAAATCAACTTTTCATGTGGTCATTTTTGTAATGGTGCATTCATTGCATGCTGTTGGGATTATTTTGTGTTTCAAACTAGTTTTATGGAGGGCCCATTCTGTTAACATAGAAAGTTTTCTCAATATGATGAATCTCCTAGGTATGAAGCTCGCCATGAGCGTATTAGCTAGAACTTTAAATGAATTTGATGTGTTGAAATCACTGAACACATATGCATAACGTACTTATATACTTCACATCCAGTTGAAACTAATATTCTGTACTTCATTGGTCTCTTTTTTGCTATTTAATGGAGTTTCAAAAGTTTCAATGAATTGTGATTTCTTTAGATGCTGTTTGAATCAGTAATGCTCTATCTGATCAACAAGATTGGTCACTTCTTCGATTAATTTGAAAATTTGCACATAAATCCATCAAATTAATATTTTCCATGGCTACCATAAATACATCTATAAAGTATCTATAAGCACTCATATCTACATTGTTCTGAATGTTTTAGTTTATTCTTAATTTTTTTTTGTTGTTGGTAGCTCGTGAGCTCATGTTGCTTGTATTACATTATTTATTATATTAGAAGACTGGTTCTTGTACATATAAAACAAAATGTAAGGAACCTACCCTTGATAAAGAGGCAGCTATATACAAAGTACTAGCTGTTGTTGCTACTTTAGAAAGAAAAACACGTATTCATGTTGCCATTATGTTCAGTACGTAATGTGTTTCCATTTGGTTACAAAACATTTGATGTTAGGTATTTATTAATGTATTGCACTGATCTTTTCAACTGTGTTGCTTTTTTTCCCATTGTTTTTATTTTTAATTTATAAGCCATTTATTTTCGTTTGTTAAAATAAGCTGTGAGTAGGCTTTTGAAACTTTTGCTTCACTGCTTAAAAACAAAAACTTGCCAGTCCATGACTGCACAAGAGAAAAAGTAGTCAAATGGTGCTAAGGTGTAAAACATTAGGATTTATGTTTATGTCACACATTTCTGTGCAGCAATTTCATCAACACAAAAATGCCACCTTTTAGAACAGGAAAAGGGATTATGAGATGAGGATTAAGGAGGGTGCAAATTCACAGACCAAAGAAATCAAGAACAAGCCTTTGCACTCATAATTGTACCACATCACATTTATGTATTGATTAGCAACTTCCCCATTGTCACAAAAACTTCGGTAGCTCATGAATTTGTATTAATTTTGTAATGATCTTTTTGAATATTGTATATTGGACAAAAATCAAATAAGCCAAACAATTTTGGCATCCTTACACACTCAAAAAGTAGAGTGAATATTCTCAAAATAGAATGCGTTTAGAAAATGTAGGTTTTAAACAGGGACCGAAACATTTCTTATTAACTGTACGTTTAACCACATGAAGGCTATGCTGAACTCACTTTCATTGTGTCCCATTGATCTTGCTTGGCATTGGTACTTAAATTTGTTTGTTCTTCCTTGTGGGATTACAGTTCAATCTATTGTTTGTTTTGTCTAAGTTGATTTATTGTTTTTGTCTAAGCCCCACTATTAAAGCCACTTGTTGCCATACAGCATGCAGTTTGAAATATGTTCATTTCAATTGTTTGCTGAATTGTATTATACTTAAGTTTGAGAAAGAACACTAAATTAAGTTCAAGCAAAAAATTTGACAGATTTTGAAGAGTAAGACGTAGAAGACAGATCTTGTATTTTTTTTTTCTTTTCGGTTTTTAATGATTAATTTTTCTTAAGTTAGTGTAGATAGCTGCAAAGAGTTCTGGAGTCATAATTTCAATTATATTGCTGGCGCAGAAAGTTGATTCCTTCTTTTGTCAGTTACTGCATTAAGAGAAAGGAGGGTTGTTGATTGTCTATTGTTTATTTATTACCATTAGTATCTTTGTTTAAAAAAAAGTCTATGAGATTATAGTTTGTTGTTGGAACTTGCTTTTTTGTATGAAAAAAGCAAATATTATTGACTGTGATTGTTCCACTCTTTGTGGGCAATTAATTGTTTGCCTTAGAGAGTAAGAAACGCAAGAAAACTCGGTAAAAAGAGTGTCTCAGCTACTTTTTCCTGTCTCGATGTTGATATATTTTTCTTCTTTTTGTATGTGTTACATTGAAATACATAGTTTAAAATTAATTGTATTACAATGCATTGACCTACCAATAACATTCTACAAGCTGAGAGAGTACAGAAGTTGTTACTGGAACATGGTTTCCCATTGTCTTCGTAAGAGGACTGAAGGTTCAAGTCAATGAGTGGCAACCATTCTCTGGACGGGGTAAACCTAAGGACTCCGTCTCGACACCGATGGCCTGCACCTCTGCCTCTCAGGGGCCTACTCTACATAGCCAATGGCTACACAGCCTACATAGGCACTACAGGCTCCAAGTGAGCAAGCGCTGTGCAAGACACGCAATGACAGCGGTGCGCAAATATTACAATACACATGGATGCAAGAGCTTGGTCATGTAAAATCCTCTCTACGTGATAAAGATAACATATCAGAGTCACTACCCCTGGCTGGAGAATGGTGTGGAGTTCGACCTTAGTCACGGGCATGCTGTCTCGTAGTCCCCCACCGGGGCATCCTTAAATTGCTACGTTTCGCATGCAGTCTCCCCGCCCCCACGGCCCACAGTGAGCCCCAGCCCCAGGTGAGCCCCAGCCCCAGGTGAGCCCCTGCCACATTATTGTATTGTTGCTGCGAGCAAAGCGCAGCAAAGCGTCCCAACCACTGCCACTAAATTTTAAGGTCCTTTTGGTCCTTTTCCTGGCCCAACTACGAACCAACGGGCATGGCCCCCCCAGGTTCAGATAATGACGCACCCCACGAACTCGGCCACTGCGTAACGGGATCCATTCCAGGCGATTACAGGTGACGTGCAATCACGCCACGCAATCACACCAGCGTGTATACTGCCTACACTGCCCCTGTCGATTTTACTTGACTTGACTTGGTCGTTCGTCCGTTCGGGCCCGGTAACTATCCGTCCGTCCGACACTGATGTGATGCGGGACGGATCAGTTGCCTACTTCACAGGCGGTGTAGGTCCATGAAGAGTCAAAAGGGTGGCCTACCTTCCAGGGGCAGTTAAACAAGGGTGACCAAAAATGACTTTTCCTGTGAGGCTTGTGACACCAGTGAAAAGGCTGTGGCTGGGCGATGTGTTGCGTGCATTCTCAAATGATTTCAGTTTTTCACTAGAGAAAAGACTGTTTAGGGCCGAAATGGTCCTTAAAATTGTGTCAGGAATTATTAGGGAGTACTGCAGCACAACACACTCCAACTTGCGCCGCAGACCACCTCAGATTTGCCTAAAACTAATATGGAACGTTGCTATGGATCTAAGAGACAGATAGGTGCCCAATGGCTGAGTTCTGGTGCGGCGAGGCTATCAAATTATGAAGGTCTCCAGCCAGGAAAGTGACAACTTATGACTCCAAAATTTCATCTGTACCACTTTATAAGTATTTTATTTGACCAAGCTGCTGAATCTATGTAATATTTTATGTACAAAATACAAATATCTTTTCACTGTACAGAGGCATTACTGATATAAAATTTCAATCTGGTTTGTACAAAGCAACAAAAAACACTTTTATAGATTGTACAGCAGCAAATGAGATCGTTATAATCAAAATAATATTTACGAACAATACCAAAACACAGTATACACATTTTAGTAATGGAATTATTCCTTTGAACAAACTGAGGAGCTGCTATATCTCTAAATATATAGAATTTTTATGCAACAGAGGCATTGTTGTCATGTCTAAGATATGGCAAAAAAAAATTATTTGCTGAAAAACACAAATAGAATTTACTAGTTCTTTATGTACATAATAACACAATAACTTGTCCTAACACCAACCAAGATAAAGGAAAAATAATGTTGCGTTAAAGACATAACGGAACAAAATTGAAAGGCTGTTTCAATGCATTGCACTGAAAACTTTCATAAGGTTTATCATAATACCTAAGAATTAAAATATGTACACTTTTACTTTACTTGGTTCCTATGAAAGATAGTCTGTTACAGATAAAAGAAGTGTACAGAATATTATATACATTCACACAGAAAATTCACCCTTGACAGAGCTCAACTACAGAACCTATTTCACCGGCAGAAAAATTGGAGGGAGAGATTAGCAGCATATTGGCTAATAATTTTAATCACCCGCTAGATTGTAAACTACTTTAGAACTCCAGCATTCTTGATGAATAAAGTGCACTGAGATGTTGTTAATAGATGTGACTGCTTCACTCATATGACCTTTCTTTCTTAAGACATTCCAAACCTAGGAGAGGTTGCAGAATTCTAGTCCAGCCATAGAGGCAAACCTCACCATATCATGCATGTTAGTCCCTAAGCTTGCAAAATCATGCAACCTCATAAGAGCATAAGTCAATTTATCACATTCAAAGGCACATATAAAACTACATACAATAATTTATAATCAACCAGCAAAGTTGGTTTTTTTTTTTTTAATTTTTTGTTAATTTATGAGGTGCCACGACAGAAAAATCTAAGTTGTAGCCTAAATAGAACACTTCCCTCCTGTTTTCCTGCCTGTGGTCTAATCTGGAATTAATATCCTTTCTTCACAGTTCAGATAGATAAAATCTAATGGAGCATGCAAATTTGGAACAACTTATTTTGAAAAGAACAAGACAGTAATATCAAAATTTGGGAGAGGAGGAAAAAAGGGGGTAGCAGTGGTAGTACTAGCAGCAGCACCGATAGTCTCTCGTGAGAGGAGTATCGACGGGTCAATTAATTTGGACAGAAATAAAGTAATAATTCTTTTTTTTAAAAAAGGCCAATACTTATTGATAACTTTTTTTGTGTCGTTTTTTTGTTTTATGTATCAAATATGAATAACAACTAGCATATTATTGATGTGAAGTTAAAAATTTAGTGAATACAATCAGCGTTGTACAGAATTAGGGTGCTGTAGAATACATACTTTACTTCCTTAATGAACCAACAATTGGTATTGCAAGATAAATAATCGGATATTAATTTGGAAAAGAACACAAGAAGCCAAGAAGAGCAAAGAAATGAACACCAGTCCACAAAACAGTACTAATACACCATAGGAGCATTATCACAGATGAATGTGCTGGTGAGGATTACTATCTTCCCGAAAGCTCCGATTTTGATCGAGATAGTTACACTCATAGAAATATTGTACTATATCTCCTTTCCTTTGAATCCTCTTAAAAATAATAATTGGCACAATAGTTCTCCCACAGCATCAGAACACATATTAATGATCACATAAATGAACAGTTTAAGTTTCTTAGCAACATAACATCACTTACAGATAAATATCCGGTCATGTTAAAATGAATTCATCTTTATCACAAACTGATACATATACAAATTGGATTAAATTGATTCTTGTCTTATTTTAACATTTTGAGAAAAGGAAAAGACTGATTACAAGTTAATATTTTGTACTAAATAATATAAAGATAAACAATGAATTCTTTCCTCTGTCTACATTTATATCCATAAAATTGAAACAATATACAAGATGTCTTGCTTCAAGGTACAAAATCGTTTGCATAAAATCTCAACACATAAGAGGAGGTAAAACAAGCATTCAAGTAACATCAATTAATCACAAAATTTAACAGGAAAATGCACATAAAAACTATTAAGAATGGCTATCCCTAAGAGTTTCTAGACAAAACAGAAAAGAATATGCGGTCTGAGGCCGCCTACTTTCATTCCATTCAATCACTCACTGTGTCACATTACTTTTCCACAGGTAATGGTTTATTTAATATAACAACTTAACTGCAACTCTGCAATAACCCAAGCAACAATTCTTATTGAATTCATATCAGAATAATTGTAAAAAAGGAGAGAAAAAGTGGTAAGTGCCGTAAAACAACTCATGTCTAGAGATAAAATGCCTGAATATAAGGTACCACGAACTATTACTAGTGGAAATGCAAATGACAATAGAAACCAGGTTTTGTTTAAGATTAGGAGGGAGAAAAAAGCACACAGCTACACAAGATCCGTCACATACAGCTCATTCTTGTACCCAAAGAAACATTCTTTTCAAGAGGATACTGTTCTATACCTTTACGTTGAGCACAGACACACCCTACAGACCTAACATAAATCATTATTTAATCACAGTTCAACAGCATTTGCTAGCAAGTCTACAGTAACTTCATTTATAGCGCAATATGAAGTCATGCCCTCTGTGAACATTGCCGTTTGTTTATCTCAAAGATCCCACAGCACTTGACACATAAAAATGTTTGTTAAATGAGGTTACTCAAAATGAAATTAGTCAGCATTGGTGACACAATTTCTATTTACTTTCCTCACTGTCCGCTGGTTCACTTCTGCGTGGCAGTGTTAAAGGGAATGGCACATTATCAGCTGTTTCATTGGGCCGACTGCCGAAAGATAGCGGATATGCTGAATTCTGGCTCTCTGAGGGCGAGTCCATTTCTCTAACATATTTGCTGGTGATGCTCACTTCAGGGGCGATGAAATGGCCCCTGTCACTAGAGTGACTGCTCAAGTCAGTCGCAGCTGCTTGCTGGTCTTGCTGTCTGCGTTGGCTTTGTGAGGACATCATACTGAGGTCTGTAGGCATATCCTCAGCATCCTCAAGAGTGTCGTCAATGTCCAAATCAGGTTCCACTTTGATCATCATTGGAACTGGAGACGGCGGCGATGTAGCCTGATGTGTGTTGCTATTGCTAGTAGCATTTGTACTATTGCCGTTGTAAGCTGCTGGAGGGGCTGGGCGTGTAGGGCTCATTTGCTGGCGTAGGAGTGAAATATTTTTTATGTTTTTAAGTTCTGTTGGATTACGCAGAAATCTGAAAAAAAAAATGAAACAAAATAAAAGGTGGTCAAAAGCAGGTTACATAGAACTCAGGCAACCAAAAATGTCGGAACATTCAGACTTACTGGTAGCAGTGTCGCTCTCCTTGGACTTTGCGTAGAATGTTGACTCTGTAGTAATACCGCAGAGCTCTGGACATTTTGTCGTAGTTCATGGACAGGTGGTTCTTCTGGATACCCCACAGCTTGGCAAGACCTGCAGGGTCTACAATTTTGAAGACACCCGTGTCGCGGTTTTTCCAAGCAATGTAGCTGGTGTACCGCTGGCTGGCGTCGTTCAAGAGCTGCTGCAGGAAGTCCCACAGAAGACGGCCATCTGAAAAGGCATACAGTCCGTCAAGGTCTCGACATGTCGGGCACGGCAACTGGTAAACTCGACTGATCTAAAACTCACTTGTGTTCGGCTCGGGCGTGTCCGGGAAGAACTCCCTGGCGCCCGAGGAGGGCCTGAAGCTGGGCGTCCCCGGGGTGGTGGGCAGGGACAGCGAGCCGCTCGAGGCGGTCTGGCTGGTGGGGGTGGCTGGCTCCTTGACGGCGGGTGAGCGCGGCGAGGCGGGCGTGTGTGGCGTGTGTGGTGCGTGCGAAGGCGCACCCGTCACCAAGTACGACGGCGTGCTAGGCGGGCTGGAGCCGCTCCCCGTCGACCCCGTCGACCCCGTCGAGCCGTTGCCGTTCTGCTCGCGGGCGTTGGTGCCATTGGCCCCGTCCGGGTAGCTGTCTTCCTCGGAGTCGGACTGGGACTGCGTGCTGCCGGAGCTGCCGTTGGAGCCACCAAAACCAGCTGCAAGCAGGGAGCCCCTTCGTCAGTTCACCGACAACGCAATGCGATCAAGAAGAACCCTATGTACAAGACTGCCACCGCTGCGACCATTCCCTCTGACCATTCCCTCTCCAGCCCTGACTGTACAGCATGCAAGCACCTCGGTGGAGGCGTGGGGATGGGGGCGGCCGGGGCGGCACACGGCTAGGGGTGGGGGGCAGGAGATTCCACCAAGGGATCTCTACAGGTGGATGGGGGCGTTGGGGCGTTGGGACGTTGGGCTTTCCCAGGCAGCCCTTCCCCAACTGTCTCCGGCAGAGACAGAGACAGAGACAGAGCCATGCAGACTGCAGACTGGAGCGGCTGACGGCCATGCAACGAGGTTGCCTACCTGGACAGACAGCCGACAACAGAAACAGGCGGTCGGCCAGGAAAAGTGTCAAGTCGACGGCACGGGTGGCGGGCGACAAGGCGACAAGGGCGGCAAGAGCCAGTCGGACAAGTTGCCAAAATCAAGGAAAACCCTCAAGGTGCGTCCATTGGACCCCTGCCCCTGTCCCTCCCCAACCCTCCCGCTACCCCTACCCTGGCACATGCGGCGCGGATACTTACTGAGCAGCGGGAAGGACGACGCGACCGAGCCGTGCTCCAGCGGGTGCTGCGGTGACCCCGACTGGCTGTCCAGCGAGGGCGCAGGGCTGAGGGTGACCGAGTTGCCGTGGCCCAGGTTGCCCAGGTTGCCCAGGCTGCCCAGGCCGGCGTGGCCCAGGCTGGCCATGCTGCCCATGAGGTGGGCCAGCCCAGGGTGAGGGTGGCCGCCCCCTCCACCACCTCCTCCTCCACCCCCGCGCTCGCCGAGGCGCTCGCGGTCTGCATGCGGTGCCAACTCACCTCCCGGCCGGACCAGAAGGCTCCAGTTTGGCGTGGGCGGCGGGTGGGTGTGCGCGGGGGACAGGGGGTGCGGCACGTGGTGCGGCGAGTGCACGCCGTGCGCCGCGTGCGCCGGTGGGAAGTGGCGCGACGTGGGGGTCACGGGGGAGCTGGGCAGGCACCGGGTCAGGAACTGGGCGTCGCGGACCAGCATCTGCAGCACGTTGTGGAGCACGTCGCCGGCGCCGGGGCAGCGCTCGCCGAGGTCCGTCTTGGTGAGGAGACACAGCGCTTTGCCTGCAACAAGGGCGGGGCGTCAGTCCGGGCGGACAAACTTGGCGTACAACACAACGGCAGGGAAGATCAACGGAGGACCGGACCAAGATTCCGCAAGTCCGGACGAGAGGCCTGCAGCCCGCGTGCATCGCCGCTGGAGGACAGCTGCCTGCGGTGCCTGCGGTGCCCGAGCACCAAACCAAGTACTCACCGTTCATCTGGAACATGTCCATGTCGAAGTTGGGCAGGTCGAACTCACGCTCACACCAACGCAGGAACGTGCACACGTCCTCTCGACTCCAGATACGCGGATCGGTGGCTGCAAGCCACAAAAGAACGTTACTTCACATTCACTCTAGAAACTCAAGAGAGTGCATGCTCAGCATGCTCCACCTGGGAGTCAACCACAAAGCACACTTCATCCTGAAGTGTGCTTGCAAGTACACTCTAACCAGGAGCATGCTTGGCAAGCACACCCCAGGGTGGAGCATGGTTGTCTCTTCGTTACGAGGCCTGGTTACAACGACGCTGCACGCTTTATCCAGGATGAATCCCAGGGGGAGCATGCTATGCATTCTCTTGAGTTTCTAGAGCAATCCCTAGAAACGAAAACGGTGGCGGTGTGGGCGTGCTCCGCCAACTCACCGAGTGCCGCGGGGAGGTGGTTCTTGAAGTCGAACATGGGTGCGGCAGCGGGCTGGGGGGTGTTGGCGCCCTGCTGCACGTTGAAGTTGAGCCCCGGATACCGCCACAGCAAGTCGCTGGCGCCGAAGGGGAGCGACAGCGGCAGCCGCTCCATGGCGCTCACCCCCGACGGGGGCAGCGAGATGGGCAGCAGCTTCATGGCCGGGGGGGCGGACTCTGCAACAAAGGCACGCGCGCACAACCGGCGTCAGACAACGAGTCACCATCACATTCACTGCACAGAGTCGCTGGAAGAAACCCAGTTCTTCGGCTGCGGGGGCCACGCAGCCCGCGCCGCGAGAGCCGCGAGCACTGGCGCTACCTAGGGTGGGCAGGGACAGGGGCATCGGCCTCCATGCCGGCACTCGCCGCGGCCAGCTTCTGCTGCTCCGGGGCGCGGCCAGGGCGGGGGAGATGGCGGGGGCGACGGTGGGGGCGACGGCGGGGGCCACCATATGGAACTTGACCGCCGGGCCGACAGACGGAGGACGACGCCGACGACGGCAGCGACGCTGATGAGCCCTCTCGAAGCGCGACGCCGTGTGGCGTGTCAGTCGCGTCGCGTTCCAAACACGATTGCGCGCCTGAGCGCCGTCCGACTGTCCGGCAGAGGTGCGGCCCGGGGCGGGGCGGGGCGGGGCGAGGCGGGGCGGGACGGGGCCGCGGATCGAGTGCGGCGGCAGCAAGTGCGGCGGCAGCAAGTGTGCGGCCAGCACATCGTTCACGATATTCTGGCGACTCAGGCGGGCCGCTGCGAGCCGCGGCCACGACGGGCACGGGCTGCACTCCGCCACGCCGCGCCGCGCGGGGTCATCGTAGAGTCACGACCGCACGCCGCGTCGTGTCGCGCTCACCACGCCAGCACGTGGAACTACGTGGAACCGCCTCCGCGGGTTCGACAGCCGCCGTCAGCATTGTGCATGCGCCTGCTCCACTTCCGCGGCCCCGCCTCGCCCCGCGCCGCCCCGCGCCGGCCCGCTCGTCCCGTTGGCGCGACTTCCGGTTCAATAGGGAGCGTCTTCCGCCGCGGTGACCGCGCCGCGGCCGTCCTGCAGGTGCCCCGGCCGCAGTCCCAAGCCCGGACACATTTGACAGTCAAATTGCGGTTCCGCGACGCCCGCCCCGCCTGACCGCCAGCCTCGGCCCGCGCAGATAGGGCCCGCGAGGCGAGTGCGGGCCGAGACCACGGCAGCGCGAGCGGCGGACAGGGCGCAGGGCTTGGCCCGAGGCTTGGCCGGACAGGCGGCGTGACGGCGCAGTGTGCCACCGCGCCACGCCTCCAGCTTGCGGCAGCTTGCGGCCCCGTCGGTGGCCAACGCCTGGCCAACGCCCCCCGCGGCCCGGCTGACGCTGGCTGACGCCGGCCAGTGTCGACACCGCAACGGCAGCGTCAGCGACTTCCATTCTCTTCCACTCCGTGTATTCCACGCGGCATCCCGCCCTACGCGGCGCGCGGCCTGCGCGGCCCACACGCAGCAAGGGGGTTGCCGACCTCAATACGGCACTCGCAACCCGAATTCCCGTCCGCGACTCCGCGACTCCGCGACCAGCCCGTCGACGCGACGCGGCCAGGCGGCCGGAAGCAGGGCGGCCAGGCAAGGCAAGGCGGGTGCCCGGAGTGGCCGGGCCTGCCGGGTCTGCAACGCCCCACTTCCCGTTTCGGCCGTTTGCAGCGGTATCGTCACGCCCGCCAGGCCGCCAGTCGTCTCGGCGTCCAGCGTCGCGCATTGGCCACCATCGGCCGAGGATGCCGTCACCGCGGAGGCGGAGTGCGCCGCCGCGTTGCCACGGACCTGGTGGTGGGTGGGGGACACACGTACCCGCGTACCGGGAACTCGGGAACCCGGGAACAGCCTCCGCCAATCGCTATCGCTGTCGGCGGGCCTACCTGCGCGGCCTTCCTGCCTTCATTCGAGCACCGGACGAGACAGGACAGTACCGCGAACCCAAGAGACTACAGACGCACGCCGGCGGTGTCGAAACGCCCAAGTGTCGGAATGGCGAAACGGGCACGTGCCGCAGATAGTGCAAAGGCAGAGCGGCAGGGAGACGAGTGCCTTGGGCAACACTTGCCTCGCCACCAGGTGCACACATTCGAAATTACACGAAACGGACGCGCTCTTTTTCGGCGGCGCACCGAGGCCGCGGCGCGTACGCCGCGTGGCCGCGTAGCCGCGTGAGCTGGCTGTGGGAGGGGGCGGGAAGGAAGCGCTACTTGACGGAATTAACTCGGCGCGGCGGTGCGGCAGCGCGGCACGCCGGCCAGGGGTTTATTACGACTTCCGCATTAGAGACAAAACGCGCGGCAAACGCGCGGCAAACGCGCGGCAAACGCGCGGCAAACGCGCGGCAAACGCGCGGCGCAGAGCAGAGGGACCAGAGGGAACCGCCCCGTAACGCGGCCGAAATGAAATGGATCTCGGGCTGCGTTTCTGTGTTCGGCCCCACGGCAGCAAAGACCCTCCCCCCCCTTTCCCCCGCCTTTGCCTCTAAAGTCCATTGTCAGATTCGGGCCGACGCTTATTGCTTCGTGTCTGTGTGGTGTGGTGGTGGTGCGCACCTGAAGCCCCGAGCCTCGACTGGAAGTGATACCCAGCAAGCGCTCGGCACGCGGGCCCGGTCTGGCCAGGCCGGTGCAGGCGCGGGTAGTGGTGGCGCGGGGCCCAGCAGAGCTCCACCGCGTGGTTGTCAAGCTTCCTCCTTCCCCACTCGTCCCGTCTGGGTCCTTTTCCTTTTCTTTTTCTCGACCGCCCATCTCTTCCTCATCTCCGTCGGCTCGCTTCCCGGCATCCCGCAGCATCCCCCCTCCACCCCCCCTCCCCCCTCCACACACTCACTCGCTCACACACCTGAGCGGGCCGAGGGGCCGAGGTGCCCCGAGGGGGGTCACTGTCCGTACCAAGGTCATGGTGGTGACCTTCTCCGCGGGCAAGCGGCGTGCATCGGCGAGCAGCATCCGGCCAGGAGCCAAGACTAGGAAATGAAAAGACAAGCCGATGCCTGGGCAATGCGAGGCAATGCCCACCCACCCGCACGAGAGCGCCGCACCGCGGCCTCCTCCAAAGAACGCCTCCGCGAGCCGTTGGCGTTATAAACTGCTGCAGACTGATTTCGGGAGTCATTTCCGTCGCTCTGTCTCCCTCGCAGTCATGGGCCATCTCATAAAGGTGTGAGAGAGACAGAGCGACGAAAACTACTTTCGGAATCAGCCGCGAGGGCGCCGCCGCCGCGCCTGGTTTTAGCTTGCCGCTGTTGACACCCTCTCCCCGCCCTGCCGCATGGCCGCAGGCGATGACCCTTCGCATGGCTTCACTTTCCATCTATTTTCAATTTGTACGAATTATTTTCGTGCGCGAACGCCCCACGCCCCGCCCCGCTGCTGCCTGCCTTCGCAGCGCCACTCCCTCTCCTCCTCCTCCTCCATCACGAGCTTGTTCCTCGAGTCGGCCCCGCCGCCCCGCCGCCCCGCCGCCTCGCTTCCTCGTCTCCTCTGCCTCTTCCGAACGACGAACGAGCCGCCGGCCGGCCCCGCCCCGCGCCGGGCCGGGCGGTCCTCAAACCGGTCCTGCGGTCGCGTCGTCGCGTCGCCGCGTCACGAGGCAGGGTGCAACAGCACGACTCGCGCCAGCGCCACCAGCGCAGCGCACCGACTCGGCCACGTCCGCGCGGACTTCCCTCCCGCCCCGTCCCGCCCCCGCGATGAGCATACTCACACGTGGTACGCGAAGCACGCCTCGCGCCCACGCACGCACGCACGCCAGTGACAATGGGCCGGCCGCCCCTCCCCCACACTGTAGGGACAATGATCCTACCGAGCGAGCAAGTGGACGTGATCGGTGTGGCCGCTGTCCGGCAGGCGGGCCGCGCCGGGGGGCCGCGAAAGCGCACACTACGCGCCAAATGGTCGTTCGCAGGGCGCAAGTGGCCCGCCCGCCCGCCCGTGCACTCGAGTGCGTGCGTGCGTGCGTGCGTGCGCGAGCTCCGAGACCGGCCCGCGCTTAGAATAGACGCCAAAACATCAACAGGAGGATGGGCGAGCGTGGCCACGCCCCGCGACTCGAGGCGTAGCGACGCGGCGCTCGCCTGGCGCTTGGCCGCGCGGACGAACTTCGTGGCGCTTCGTGGCACTTCCGGTCCCAGCCCCCCCCCCTTTCCCCCTCCGCGAGGGCCTCATGACGTGTCCGCATCAACATACACCTCGGCGACCCAGGCATGCCAGCAAGAACCAGCAAGCCAGGCAAAGGCGAGGCGAGGCGCATGCAAAGGACGGGCGCCTGCCCGTCTGCAACTCAGCATACATGCCTGGCGTCGCGACAGCGCGGCAGCGCGTCAGTGACCGGAGGGCTCACTTTTGTTCGGGAGGCTCCTCGAGTCGACCCCTGTGCACAGCCGTCGACCCGTGTGCTGTGTGCGCTGTGCAGGGCGTCGAGCACCACGCACTTCACCAGCTTGTCCACGCCGTCGGCCCCCAGTCGGCCCCGCCCCGCCGCCCGGTCCATAGGCAGCCCATCCGGCACTGCGGCGTCGGCGCACAGAGGGGCAGGGGGGCTCTCGGTCCTACACCATTCGGTCGACACCCCCCCCCCCCCCCCCCGGGTCCCGGCACGCCAGCGGATTGATTAATGTATTTGCATATTTATTTAGTGGACTGCAAACAGGAAGTGGTCGTGCATTAATGCAGCGCCGAGCGCACCCTGCTGCAACCCTCCCCACGCCAGCCGTGTTTGAGTTTGATAAGCGCCTGGTCCTGGCAGGGCCTCGGCCGGGCAGGGCCCCTGGCAGGGGAGCACACGGTGTGCCCCTCGCCCGACCAGTCGCTCCGTTTGGTGGCGGGCCACCGAGGGAGCCCGGGCCGACCGGCCCACCGGCCCCACACAACGCCGGGCCGCTCTACAACCGCGCAAGTGGCCGAAACGCGAGGGCAAGTTGCCCCGGCCCGGCGGTGCCTGAGTCCCTTCCCTTCGTCTCTGCACGCCGCCAGGCCCGAGATAACGCAAAGCGGAGCGGAGGGACCGGCCCGGCCCGGCTAGCACCTCAATCCCCCGATAGGCCGACACCGGCACTGTTGGGGCCGGACTGACCCTCCGCGTTGATCAACGCGGCCTAGGCCCTCGCCGTGGCGCACCGTGGCGCACCGTGGCGGCTGTCGCGGCGCCGGGGGCAGGGGCCATGCTTCGGCGGGTTGCATACCAAACATCCCTCAGGAGCGGAATGTCGTCTAGTCCCTAACTACTCCGGGCCAGGGCGGCCAGGGCCAGGAATGGGCCTGGGGGGACACAGAGACTCGCGACGCGGCATTGCACAGGGCGCGGCCCGGCCCGGCACGGCACGGCACCCAGACTGAATTATTAGGGGCCGAGCCACAGGCCAGGGGGCGGGGACGCGGGGAAGCGGAAACGGCAGGCAGGGTGGCAGTCGCTGGCGGCGGTCGAAAAGGCATCCCGCTGACTGATCAAAGCAGTCCTACAGATTCGTGCGAACGAGGAGAACAGCGAGGGGAATGCTGTCGAGGGCGCTGGCGGTGAGCAGGCGAGGTCAAGTCAGGACACGGCAGGGTGGCGGCAGTGGGGCTCGCCCACAGCGCTGAGGGCTAAGTGCTGTCCGCTGGACTGACACTGACCTGTTTGGCGCGTTCCCTGGCTTCTCGCCGCTTCTCGCTCCGACTTCAGCCCCGCGCAGCAACTCGCACCCAACTATCCACGCTCGCGACTAAAACTAACCGCGGCCGACAACGCCCCGCGCCGCGTTCCGCCAGCCCCACGACGGGCCGGGCCCAGGGCCGGGCCCCGCGACGTGCTGACTGGCGGAGGGCGGCCAAGCACCGCAAGGCGTCGCCTGGGCGTCGCCTGGGCGTCGCCGACGCCGCCAGCGTCGCCAGGGCTGCGGAACACGCATCGCGCACATCGCGCGCATCGCGCACCGCAAGCGGAACAGTGCGACCAGCACCGCGGGCCAGCGCACAAACTCGCGACCTGGTATCGGTCGATCGATTCAATGAAAAGCCGCACGGAGAGAAGCAGCTTGTTATAACAAAGTATTTTGAGCATAAATGTAAGCTTACAAAGAAAGTACTTCATAATTTGAGAACTATTTCCTCGTATAACAAAGTAAAATAGTTTGTACTATGTACGCTCAAAATTACTTCGTAAGGTTTTAAGCGTGCGCGATATGTACTCATTTATCTGAAATCACCTCCATTGCATGTCCTTAAAACACAAACAAGTGTGTAGTAGAAATAATTACAGAAATGATACTTACTTTCCCGTTTCATGCGGACTGCGTCGCGGGCGCTACTCTACAGCCATTTTTCACCACACCTGCAAGCAGACACAAAATAAAGTTACCAGCGGAAAGGGCGTCCCTCGTTCGCCAAGGCTCTGTCGCTATGTACACACTATGTACACCCAAATGTACAACGTCGGTGAAAATCAATCCAACTGTTAGGTCGGCCATGCAAGCCCCCCACCCAGATAAAGGTGTATTGTGCTGCCTCCCAAAACATGGGAAACCTCTAAAACCCCTCCAGACAGCCCAACCGAACCAAATCAGAGCTCGCATCGCCTCGCCCGGCAACACGGCACACCACTAAGGCCCCTCCGCCCCGCCCCGCCTCCCACCTAACTCAAGCCGTGCCAGGGCGGGGAAGCTGGTGCAGGCCTCTTGGCAACAGCGCCAGCGAGAGCAACGCAGAGCGACGCGTCTTCCTGCCGCTACCGCCTCTCCACCGGACATTCCGGCCATGAGGCCATGGCAGCATGAGGCAGCCGGCTCCGACGCCACCACCCGGCCCGACCGTTCGGCCAACACGGAGAAGAGAAGAGTTGCAGGCCGCGCGGCCGCGCCTACCAAGCCCCTACCAAGCCGCCGGCAAGCAGGCAGGCAGGCCAGCCTCAGAGCACGGCGCATCCGGTCAGCGTGTGGTTAGGCCCCACCCGTACCGCCAACCCGCCCCGCCCCGCCCCGCCCCGCCGCACATGCTATCGTCGGCCGTCATCCGACTCCAGCGGACTCCAGCGGGCGCGAGATGCCGCGCGATGATTCACTTCCGACATCTTCCCAGAGTGGAGGTGCGGACGGACGACAACCGTCCGACACCCGAGCAGCAGCAGCCATGTCGACCCCAGTCCGACCCCGCGCGATGAGCCTATGTCGACGCTGCAGAGTTGTGGAACAACTTTTCTGCGGCTGCGGCTCTGCAGTACCACGCGCGTTGTTTTGAACCAACAAAACTTCTGGCCGAGGCTAAACTGCCCGGGGCAGGGCGACGCGCTGCGACGCGCCGTCGGCATGTCTGCGGGGGACAGTGCTGCGGGTGGACTGCGCCTAAGTGCATGCCCGCCGCCAAACAGCAGCGGCACGGCGGCGCCTCCGCCTGCACTGTCGGTCCGTGGTCGGTCCGCCACTCACCACTGCTTCGCCTCGGCCCCGCGCCCCGCCGCTCCGACGACACTTAAGCGAGACCCTCCTCAAACGGGGCGCCGTCGCACTCAACTTCGAGCAAAATTCATTTCCAGTCGGCGATTCCCACGTGCAAGCCTTCCCGCAAACCATCGGCGGTAATACCAGGCGAAATCTTGGACCGATCGCGACCACGGTAACTTCGTTGTTCTTCAAACACCGCAAAAAATGTGTTCTCTGTTCCGGTTCTCGGATGTCTGCTACGCTGGTCAATACATTGATTTCTACGAAACGAAATGACCGCACCGCACGACAGCCCGCTACACAGTCCTCCGGCCACAAGGGCTGGGGGGAAAGGGGGAGGGGGTCACTTTGAGTCTCGAGGGGAGGGGACAGCGCAGTGCCGTGAACCTCCACGTCATTTCGTATTCTTGGCATCGAAAAAGGGGCAATCCACCGCAACACGTAAGTACACGGCAACCGGAGCGCCACTGCCACCGACGCGACACCGCCCCAGGCGGCCAGGCCCCAGGGTGGTCGGGCGGGCGCGCAAGGGCCACGGATCGGTTTCGCCCTCGACTCGACGAAGCCCTACAGCGGCCCACGGCCCAGGGCCCAGAACGGCGAGCCTGTTGCGCCCGCCGGCGCCCCGCACCCGCCGCGAGGCGATGGGTGGGGGAGTCTGGAGTCCCGAGACTAGGCCCTTTCGCTTGCACTGACCACCTCGCGACCCGCCTCGCAGTTCGAGGTCGGGCACGGCTCGCGCTCCGCCTCCGCGTCGCGCTACTTGTTGCGAAGGGCAGCCCAGCCGCCCGCTAAAAACTCCCCTCCAGCGCCCGCCAGCGCCCGCCAGCGCCCTGAACCCCGACTCCAGGTCGGGGTGGGCATTCGTTACCGCCCCGCCACGCCCCGCCATGCCCGGCCCCGTCACCGCATGCCACGCCACAGCCATGCAAAGGCCCCCGCAACCAACGTGCCCGCTCCGTCGCCCCTCGCGTGCAGCACGCTGCGACCGCAACGCGGTGGCCGTGCCGGCCGTGCAGGCCGTGCAGTGGACGTGCTCGTCTTGTACTCACGGACGTGCGTACGCCCCAAGAGCCCCAAGGGGCTCGGCGGCCTCCCGGCGGCCTCTAGGTCCGTCGCGACGACGCGCCCGGCCCGGCACTTCCGGTCATACCTGTGGACATAGAAGCAGACACCGCTACAGCTACAGCGTTGGCGTCAGCGTTCGGCGAGCTCGGCGGTCTCGTTCGTTCGTATCCAGTGTCGCGTTCGTTCGGGAAGCCGGCCGCGGCATCAGCGTTCGCCCAAGCCGCGGCGCTGCCGTGTGACCGGAACTCGCGACGCTGTTCCGGCTTGCGCGGGCACATTTCGCTCCAACAGCCGCGGCCCTAGGGAAGTCCAAGTGGCTGTTTCGCAACGCGCGACGGGAGAGGAGGAGGTGCGTCGGCGGCGACGGCGGCAGATGACGGGGTCGGATCCTGCGTAATCACCGTATCAAGCGCCGATGGCCCGATAGCCTTCTGCCTCGAGACTGAGTGTTTTACGGCGGCGGCAGGAGTAATCAGTCTGCGGCCCTGCGGGTTCACCTGCCAACGCGGCCTGCGCAGCCTGGATCCGCTCTTATCACCGCGTCCTCAAGGCCGCTTCCTTGATGAATCATCCTAGTCCGATTCCGACACACACACTCTCTCTCTCGCACGCCCCATGGAGCGCCGCCACCCCTGAGTGCGAGAGGGACAGAGCGAGTCAGCCTGCAGGCCGGACGGTCATGTGATGCGACCACGAACAAGGAGGCCAATGACGACAGGGCGCGCGGCGCATTCTTTTCTTCCAATCTGATTAGTCAATACTCAACACGTCGGCGTGGCGTGGCGGCGCGGGGCGGGGTGAGGCGTGGCGGGCAGCCGCCACTAGCCTGCTTGCCGGTCGCGCCTCAGCATCGATTTGCCTGGCAGGCCCGGACAGCCACCGCGATGCCGATGCCGAGGTGCCGCTGGTCTTTTATTCACAGGTATCGACAACACGGACACGACGGGGCGCCACGGGCACTACACTCGACTGAGCCGCTTCCTGCGCCAGCGCGCCAGCGCGCCAGCTGTGTTTGCATCCGCCGTCGCGCGGCGGCGCGCTCGGAAGTGCGCGGAAGGTGGCGGTGAGTGGCAACAAGCCGATCCGACCGACAAATTGCTGTCGTTGGTTACGGCCCCACTGGGGCTCGAGGCGCGTGGCCGTGCGGCGCCCCATGAGTGTCATTTCGGCGCCCCTTCACGACCGTGGCCCCTGCCGCCATGCCTTTAACCACCGCGTCGTCGCGTCTTCTCAATTATACTCTGGACCGAGCTGCCTCGCCGCGGCGGTGGGCAGCGCAGTGTGGCGGGACGGCCTGCCCGCCCGGCGCTCCACCCTGCTTGTCTTTCCGGTGCGGCGACCGACGCGGCGACCGACGCGGCGCCTCGCTGGGCGGGGACGGACAGCAAGAATGCGGTGGCCAGGCGGAGACCCCCCTTCCCTTCCCCTTCTCCCTGCCGGCGGACTGCCCGGCTGAACCGAGAATCTGCCGACCGCAGCGCACCTCTACATGCCGGGCACGGGCCTGGCCGAGGGCCTGGCCGGAAGTGTCCGCTTTCGGCGGCCGCCGCGCCCCGCCGCCCCGCCGGGTCCGCGAGAAAGGCCGAAAAGGCACGCGACGGACGCAGTCCACTCAAGCGGCAGCCGGGCGTGGACTGTACACCGCGAGGCCCTGGTGCCCGGCCCGCCGCGCGACATTGCGAGGGCGCAGGCGTTCAGCGCGCGCCCCGGGCCCCGCCACCGCCAGCCCCACCGCAGCTAGAGCGCCCCTATCCAAGGCCCTATCGGTGGGAACGGGAGCGAATTTCGTGACCCCCACACGCAGCACTCACGCAGCGGCCGAAAACAAGGGGCCGGCTGGCGGGGCTGGCGAGGCGGTGTCACACCACCAGCCGTCCACCCAGGTAAATATTTGCCATGTCCATCTTCCGCGTGGCGGCGTGGCGGCGAGGCACGAACGGTGGCTCGCCGGCTGCACTTGGCTCTACTGTACGGAGACACGTGCACAGAAGGCGGACATGCCCGCGGCCCCGCGGCCGGACAGACGGACGGACAGGCTTCGCGGCTGACGCGCTGACGCACGGTCTCAAACGAACAAAGGCGGAGGAGGAAGCGAGAGCGGCTCGGCGCGACTCGTCACGGCGCGGCGCGGCTGACCCGTTACACTACCTTCACCTTCCGCAGGCGATGTCGCTACTATCTCCTGCCAGTAATCCCCTCTAAGCCGAGTCGAGCCGTAGCCCCCGGCCCGCCCCCGGCCCGCCACCGGCTGGACGCAGGGCTGGACGCGGGCCTCGCACCGCTCGCACCTCGCATATCCGTCACTCAAGCTCGGCCGGCGCCGTCGGTTAGCACCAGCAGACCAGCAGCGCGCCGCCGGGACTTCCCTTCGCGACCACAGGCTAAAGGCACGGCGCGCCTCGCCACGCCGCGCCACGCCGCGCCACGCCGTAGGCGCTGCCTATGAGGAAACGAAGCGGCCACGGTGCCCGGCGGTGCCGGCGGTGCCGCGCCGCAGCCGGATAAATTTATAGCCTGCCGCGCCAATAGGCGGCGCCGTGGTGCCGTCACACAGTGTCACACACACGTCATATTACGGCGACGCACTGCGCGAAGCGCCGACGCCGCGGAGCGGCGGGTCCGCGGACACTGACTCGACAGAGAGCTCGACTTATTATTATTCAGGAGCACGAGGAGAAGGAAGAGGAGGGACGGGCGGGGAGCAGGAAGAGGCGTCCCGTCCGGCCACAGGCGCCACAGGCTGGCCGCCCGGCGCCAAGGACAAGGAAGCGGCGAGTCGCCTCCTGGTCGTCGCCGTCCTGGACGGCATCCTGGACGGCATCGCGACAACCGCCGGCCGTTGATCCCCGCCATGAGAATCGAAACGAATTCATCCAACGTCATCCGAAACGATCACAGCATCGACAAACCCGCTTTCATGTGGACCATGTTCTATCTGAACTGTAAAAAGAAAAGCTGCCACTGAGATGCGTTTTCATTTCTTTTCGGTTAGATGTTTTTAAGTGTCATGGCTGACGAGAACGACCTGGGCCACCGCGGTGACACTGCTCTACTTCGGGGGCGCGGGCGCGGGGCACCGGGGCGGTGGCGGCTGATCCGTGGGAGCGGCTGGGTGCTTCCGAGTGTGCTGGGGCTTATCAGCGCGGCCCGGTGCAGCGCGGCCACAGCGCGGCGGGTGGCGGCGACACGGTGGTGCGCGGCGGCGGGGCGGGGCGGGGCGGGGCGGGGCGGGGCGCGGTTCGCAGCCGTTTGGCGGCGCCGTCTCGCTTTGCAAGATGGCCGAAGATGGCTCTTATCTCGCCTTGCCTGCCTTTGCCTGCCTTTGGCGTGTTGCATGCATGCATACTGCTGCGCTTAACCCGACAGGCGGACACGCAGCGCAGCACGGCAGGCAGTGGCGTAGCACGCTGTCCGCGCAGCCCGCGCAGCCCGCGGCCAAAGGTCGCCACCTCAGGAACAGGAAGCGACGCCCACGTGACGCCCTGATATCTAAGGCGGCCAGGTACACACGCCGATAACGGGCGGTGCGCCACGGCACGGCACTGAAACCAGCACAACAACATGAACCCACACGGAGTAGCGGTCGGGCCCCACAAGCCCGCCTCGCCTCCGGGCAGCCCTCGGGGCAGCCAAACGGCGGGCGGCGGGCTGCATAGCGGGCAGGATGTGCCGTGCTCGTCTCGGCTCGGCCGCTCTTAGCAAATCGATTCTAAACCCGCGCGCCAGACACGTCGCCTCCGCTTTTACAGCGCGGCATAATGACATGCCGCTGCCTGCCTGCCTCGCCGAGATAGCCGTCGCGCCGCGTCGACGCGGAAGCCGAGACCGCCGAGACGGTGGCGAGGATCGCGGAGACAGACGGGGGCAACCCGAAGGGGCGCTTCGGCCAAGCGCCGCCTCCAAGCCCTTGGTCGAGTCCGCGGCGAGTCGACACCCGGGCTCGGGTAGCAGGCCGTCCGTCCACCAGCCCGTCCGGCACGCGGCGCGGCGCGCGGCGCGCGGGGCCCAAGCAGTACATACACGGGCAGCCCGATCGGCAACGTCGCCACGCTGTAACCCCCTCCCTCCCGCCGCCTGCAGTATCTTCCTCCGAGTACCTCCGGTCCGGGCCAGTCCGGTCGGGCCGGCTCCTCCCGCCGCCGCCTCCGGGTACCTCCGGCGGTACCCACCTCCGGGCGCAGCGCTGCGCCAACGCTGCGCCGGTCAGGATGTTGGCAGGGCGCCGGATATTTCGACAAGGCCGGCGGCCCCACCAAATATTCGGCACGACGACGCGCTTCCGCTCCCGGGCAGGTCGAGGAAGACGAGGAAGAGGGACTAGAGCGGCAGTCGGGCTCTCTGGCGGCAGGCGGATCCTCTCATTAGCGCCGACCTGGCGGAATGCCCCGGCCCGCCGGCGGCCCGCCCCGGCCGCGTCGTGGTGGTGGTGGCACCGTGGTGCAGCAGACTGAGCTACTTGCTTCCCAACACCACGAGCGCGCATGTGTGCATGTGTGAGTGTGTTGTGTGAGTACGAGAGAGAGGAAGGGAGGGGGCGGGAAGGAAAAAGAGGCGCGGGGGAGTGAAAAAAAATAAAGACGCTCTGCTATTCCTGGCGCCGGCTGACGCCTGTGCCTCCGCACCCCGCACCCTCCGGGCCCCGCCGCCGCGCCCCGCCGCGCCCCGCCCGCTGAAAAGCAGCGCGGTCCGCACTTTGACCCCACTGATGGCTTGCCGCGGCTTGTATTGCATGACCGTGAGCGCCCCGCTGCAGCGAGTGCAAACTAGCCAAAAGTTACAACGGCCAGCGGCTGTCTGTTTCCGAACCGGTGAACGCTGGCAACGGGGTTTAGCAAGTAAACGGGATGAACAGTATCACTTCCAAATTCCATTTTCTAATCACTTTTTGCTGTGCATACCGTAACGGAGAGCACTCTCATTGGACTTCTTGACAAGTTGGCTCGTCTTGCTCGCCTTGCCTGCCTGCGCCTCGCACTGCGAAAGCCTCCTCAAAAGAACTTCCACGAAGCGCGGCAGCTCTACTATGACGAGTTCGCCTTCCCGAGAAGGTGGGGAGCACGACCAACTCGTGTGTGGGGCCTTCCA